TTTTACAATCTCCGAATAATTATTTAAATTATCAATATACCAATGATTTTTTATTAATTTAATAATCTCTTTTAGGTTTATATCATTGCTCGTTTCACTTACGACTTTACTGCGTGTGAAAGATAAATCCTCTATTAAATTAATTTTTAATCCTCTGATTTCTTCTTCGAATTTTTTTGTAACTTCATTGGTTTTTGCTTTCTCTACCCCCAAACGGGACAGAGCATCGGCACATTTATTTTGATTACCTGGTCTATATATTATCTCATAATCATAATTTAATAATTTCGTCGCCCACTGTATTAAACGGTTATTTGTTATTTTGTTAAGATCTCTTTTATCACCTAGAATATATTGTAATGGTTTATGATCAGTAACCAAGATAAAATGTCTTCCAAAAATATATTGATGAAACTTCTCGATAGCGAACATGATCGCCGAAGCCTCCCGATCAATTGTGGCATAATTCTTTTCAGCCGCCGAAAGTGTCCTCGATGCGTAAGCAATCGGTTTCTCCTGGCCAGTAAGAAATCGGTGTGCAATAACAGCTCCTAGACCATCTTCGGAAGCGTCACAAGAAATCACGATAGGGATATCGGCTGAATAAGGAATTATTGTATCTTCTTTTGACAATATATTTTTAACTTTAGTAAATATTTCATTTTCTTTAGCTGACCAAAACCAACCAACATTTTTACTCGTTAGTCGGTGTAAAGGCGCACAAATAGAATGCAAATTTTTAATAAATGCCTCATGATAATTCACTATTCCAAGAAATGAACGTAGTTCTTTAACATTGGAAGGTGTTTTAAAAATTTTTATAGCGCTAATCTTATCTTCTGTAGGGTGAATTCCGAAACTGTCAATAATATGACCTAAATAAGTTACTGACTTTTCTCCGATTTTAATTTTATCGGTCGTCGTGGTCAGTCCAGCCTTCTCAAATCTTCTTAATACTTCTTCCAAATTAACTATATGATCGGAATTATTCTCACCTGCAATAATTATGTCGTCTAAAAATACACTAACCATAGGAATTCCCTTTAATAGGTTTTTCATAAAGCGTTGGAATATTATCGGAGCGCTAGTCAAACCAAATGGAATTCTTTGGTATCGGTAATAACCGACATGTGTCGAAATTACTAAAAGGTCCCTACATTCTGCACTAACTCCGAATTGTAAAAATGCATCTCTTAAATCTATTGTTGAAAATATTTTACCACCCGCGATTTTATTTGTTAGGTCGACGAAAGTTGGTAGTAAATCGTTATCGATCGCTAGATATTTGTTGATTGTTAAACGAAAATCTCCGCATATCCGTACGGCACCGGATTTCTTTAAGATATTAACCGTTGGCGTAGCCCAAGTGATTGGAGTTATTGTTGGATCCACCTTCTCGATAACGCCTTCGTCTAAAAGTCTGTCCAACTCAGCTTCAATGGTTCGACGCAACGGAAAAGGAACTCTTCTTGCTGGTAATGCAATCGGTAACTTGTTCGGTTTTATTCGGATGACTGCCTTTTGCAGTTTGATTTCACCTAAATTTTTTTTAAAAACTTGAGGGAATTTTGAAACAATCGTATTTAAAGAGGGAATATTCATATTTATTTTATTAATACGAACTTCTTCCGGTAGTTTTATATCAAATTCTCTAATGAAAGGCATCCCAAAAATAAGGGAATTCTCCCCTTTAACTACCCAAATAAGTAAAAATTTCGAAATATTTTTTACTTTGACTTCTACGGTACATTTGCCTAGTACTTCGATTTGGATATGATTATATCCCACTAATTTATAAGCCCGTGATAGTTGTGGTCTGCCAATACGATTCCAGGTGACCTCATCAATCACACTACACGCGGCGCCGGTATCAAACTTTATAGCTAGCTGCAACCCATTTATCTTCGCATCGATGGTAGCTTTATTTGAAAATGGCAGGCGAGGTGTCCGTGGCAGAATCATTTGTATGGCATGGGTTCTACAATCTTTCGCTATGTGGTTTGCCTTACCGCAACGAAAGCATATCACTTTCTTTTGAATAGAGTTAGGTTTGATACTAGGTCTATAATTATTATTAGGAATATAATTGTTACTAAAGTGTTTATTATTATTGAATCTATTGACGTTAGTATAATTATTATTTCTAAAATAATTATTTTTCGAACCCTGTGTTGGCTTATTTTTAATTATTTTATTAACTTCAGTCTGGGTTTCATTTTCCAACGAAGACAGCGCGATCGCTAAACGCACGGTCTCTTCAAAAGTAATATTGCCTTCGATATACTTTGACCGAAGTTCTTTGTCCAAATCAGGTAAGCCTACTCCTAGGATAAATATATCTCTTAAAAGTTCATCAAAAGGCGGTTTAAAATTACAAAGAGAACAGACAGTTTTAACCCTAAATGAAAAGTCAATAATCGTCTCATTACATCTTTTTAGCGTAAAAAAATTTTTCCTATTTACGAAAATACTCGAACTATCCTTGAACACCAAATTTAAGCTTTTTATTAAAGTATCATAATTTATCATCTCTAAATTTATTGGAAAGTGAAAGTTCTTAATTTTGATAAGATTGTCTGTTCCGATATAGGCTAAAAGCAGGTCTTTTTTTGTATTTAAATCTATAATATTTCTTACATTATAAATTAACTCCAAGTTAAATAAGTAGTCCTGAATATTTACTTTTTCTTTGACGAATTCTGGAATATGGAATTTAATAGGAACTACTTCCATTGAGACTTTAACTTTAATAGGGACTACTTCCATTGAATCTTCAACTTTAATAGGAGCTACTTCCATTGAGTCTTTTACTTTAAATTTAATAAATCAAATAAATCTTCTCTAAAAATATCGTCGCCAATGAAGTGTTTTATTAAATAAAAGTAAGTAAAAGTATATTTAATACAAAATATCACGTATATATATATCATGAATTCAATCCTTCAGGTTATATAATTTACAAACGAAAAGTTAATATTATATTCAATTTATATTCAATTTATATTCAATTTATATTACACTGAGCATGAAAAAAAGCAATGTGTCGTTAGAAGCGATATATCATTATTGAATTCAATTGATCAATCAGAGTTTATCATTGCTGCTAGTTGCATCAATAAATTATTTTTAGCTCAACTTTGTAGAAATTTACAAAAACCAAATTTAGATTTGGTTCAGGTTATTGATTTGGCGGAAAATATATATGAACAGGTAGATACAATAAGAATGAATGTAGATAAATATTTTCATAATATTTATCTAGACGTTGAATCGAAGGCTAAATCTTATGATATAACACTAATTAAACCTCGTCTAGCCTAGGCCATTATTGAGATGTAAAATAAATATTGGCTCAACTGAATAATATTATAAAATATCCAGTTTCATCCCATTCTTAGATACTTTTTTATCGCAAATAAAAGAACGGTTTTTAGATAAAAAATGAATCTCGGCTAAATGGTTAGCTCTGTTAAATATCCACAGAGATTTGGTTCCAACGACAAACCAAATTCTTGATGAATTGACAACATTCCCACGAAAATTAAAAATCACATTATAATTCTAGAAAATATTTTGTATAATATTGTATTTGATAAGAAGTTAAAAAAAACTTGTTAATTTAATTATTTTCTAGTCAATATTTTATACACACTACTATTAATATTTTCAATAAAAAAATTATATACCTTATATTGTATGAGAATTTAAGCTGAGGCTAGTTTTTAAAGCAAATTTTATAAAAAAATGACATTACACTTTATTTCAACTTTACATTTAAACAAACTTTATTAAATATAAAATACCTAACTTGAAATAATAAAAAATAGGCTTGAAATATCCATAAGTACGAATTAGTAAATAATAGTTAAAAATAGAAATATAATTATTATTAATAAGACCCGGCCGAAGGCCGGGGGAAAGTTGGCCGAAGGTCAGGTAAAAGGGCTTTGGGGGCGAAGCCCCCAAAAAAATTTTCCCCATAAGAAAATTCTGGATACGCCACTGATGAGGAGGCTTGAACCTTAGTCAATTTTTGACTCAAAAACTGGCTGAGTTTAGGGTTTTGCCGGCTTGGCTCAGCCGTTTAGCAACACTAACACTAATCTCAAATAAATAAATTTAGCCTCAATAATCGGCTTGAGTGGGCCAAATTTTTGGCTCAAAACCTGGTTGAGTTTTCGCTAAGCCGTTTAACAACATTAGTAATTAGTTAGTTTGTATATTTGGTAATAAATATGCTTTATAGTAAAATTTAGGAAAAAAAGAGATAAAATTGTTGCAATGTAATCCGTGAGCATTAAGGGTATTAGAAATATCGAAATTTAAATTTGTGATAGGAATCATATTGGGTAAAATTAAAAATAGAGATGCTTCTAAATTTTTGAATTTTAAATATGGGCTAGACATTGGTCTCAAAATTTTGTTTTGCCGACACAGCAGGCCTGATCAAAAAACCACGTCCCATGCAACTTTCCCAATAATTTGCCATTTATTTCTATTGTTATTTAATAATAATGTCTTAAATTTAATTTTATATTTAAAATAAAATTTATTTGTAGAAATCATATTGAATAAAATTTAAAATAGAGATGCTTGTGAATTTTTTAAATATGGGGTAGACATTGACCTGAAATTTTTTTTGCAGACATAGTTAGGCCTGATCAAAAAACCAAATCCCATGCAACTTTCACAAAATTTTGCCATTTATTTCTATTGTAATTTAATAACAATGTCTTAAATTAAATTTTATATTCCATTTATTTCTATTGTAATTTAATATTTAATTTTATATTTAGAATAAAATTTAAATTTGTGATAGAAATCATATTGGATAAAATTTAAAATAGATATGCTTGAAAATTTTTTAATTTTAAATATGGGCTAGACATTGGTCTGATAAATTTCTTCTCAAACCTGGCCAACCCATAATTATTTTGTAATTTTTTCCCAAGTCTGGAGATAGGTAAATCTCTGAAAACCATATTGTTGGGAAAATTTTCTCAAGCCTGCCAAAGACCATAATAATTTTGTTCGTTGAGAACTGAAATAAAATATATAAAAGTCATAATTCAATTAAAAATAAAATCAATGAAAGTTGCATTGGCTTGGTTTTTTAATCAGTCCTGGTGATTTCTGCAAAAAAAAATTTCAGGCTAATGTCTAGCCCATATTTAAAATTAAAAAATTTTCAAGCATTTCTATTTTATATTTTACCCAATATGATTTCTATCATAAATCTAAATTTTATTCTAATTATAAAATTAAATTTAAGACATGTTAAGGGTGTTGAAGCAATATTACAATGATCTTGATTTTCAGTAATACTACACTTTGATATTGATGCAGTAAGACTTTGCCCTTGTTTTTTCTTGCTTCGACAAAGTTCCTGTCTCCGTCTGGCTTTCTCCTTATGCTGATATATTATTAAAATTTAAAAATATACACCTATTAAATAGTTTGAATTTTAACTTATATACTCTAAAAAGTTATGCATAACTCAATTTTGTAAATTATCATTTTTAGCTACTATAGAAGAAAATCCAGGAGTTGTATGTTATAATAATGATCAGTTATGTCTAAATTTGAGACAAAAATTTACTGTACCTTCCTGGCAGCTAAAATTTAAAAATATAAGAATACCTATTTAATAGTTTGAATTTTAAATTAAATACACTTAAAAGTTATGCATAACTTATTTTTGTAAATTATCATTTTTAGCCCCAAGAAGTTGTATGTTATAATAATGATCAGTTATGTCTAAATTTGAGACAAAAATTTACTGTTAAGGATCTTGAAACAATAATACATTGCTCTTGATTTTCAGTACTACAATTTGATTGTTGATTATTCTTTTTGTTGAATGGTAGGAATCTACAAATATAATATAATGTATCAGTTATGTCTAAATTTGAAACAAAAATTATTGTTAAGGATCTTGAAATAATAATACATTGCTCTTGATTTTCAGTACTACAATTTGATTGTTGATTTTCAATATCTTTTTGTTGAATGGTATCTGTGCAGGAATCTAAAAATATAATAAAATAGTAATTAAATCAAAAAATTTACCAAGAACTACAAACTTTGAATCGTATCTACTATTTGATTAATTTTGCCAGTTTAAGAAAAAAAAACCTTTGCCGGGATTCGAACCTAAGTTCAATAGTCCATTAGATTTGCAAGCGACGTTCTTACCGATTGGGCCACAGGCACTTTTCGTAAATAACGATTTTTTAAATATATATTATAGTGTGAGAGTGTCAGCGTAACGGTATTTTTGTGACAAGGCTTTTTATATATATTATAGATATTGGAATTGTCGTCTATGAATGTTTATATGGCACGTTTAAAAATCACTTTTTAAATCGCATTTTGATTTTAATTTAATTTTTTTTTTAAATAGTAATGCTATATTTTAAATATTACCTTTTTTGTTCTTGGATAAGTATTATATAACGCAAGTCCCTAAAAAGAGACACAACAAATTTGATAAAATTATCTCCCACACCTGATTTAGTTAACACACTCAAAAATAATATAAAAAGGTCGTATTTATTGCACCATTTAAAATTAAATCAAACTAGACTTGGCTCCGATGTAACTATCGACGGCTGGCGCATTTAAAAAATCTAATCTGTGGCCGGCGGCACGCCGCTTATTCGCCGCCTTAATATAATCTGCGTAAATCTGCGCATTGACATAAATTTTACATTAATATGTATATTCTAAATTGATAATTGTATTTTTTTTAAGAAAAGATAAATTAAAATAAAATTTACTAAGAGATATCTATTTTTACATATTTATTGAAAATATAACTAATTATAAATTAAAACTTATTTGTAATTTTATAGTTATTATATATAATTGCCGGACATAAGGATAATCTTGAATTCAACGTCAACCCAATAGCAGAGAAAATTCTTTCACTAAGTGTGCTAGTTGCCGGAACACAAAGAATTTATTTTTTGGCTCGCGTGGAAAAATTCGGGAATTCGAATCTCCTTTTTCTAGAAAAATTTAGAACATTTACATTCAGTGAATGGCAGGCATTTTTGAAGAAGAATATGACCTTCTTGTTCTAACTTATGATAATAATTTGTGCATGTAGAATGTTTATAAGCTTGTCAGATAATTTGTATTTGAAATTTTCCTCTTGCTTTTTAATCTCTACATTTACTTATCTAATATCATCATACTCTTTAAGTTTTAGTTTTTTATTAATAAATTCCGACGATGTGCAATTTTGCTTGATTAGATATACTGTCACAATTTTTAAAATCATAGGTCAAGAAGAGTAGCCAACATCTAGATATTTTTTGAAATTGTAAATTTAATAAATTAAAATATTATTACTTACAAATCGCAGGCAAGAAATTGTAAGGCAAGTATTTTACTTAACTGAAATATTCCGAGCTATCATTATCATTTACTATTAAATGCGTTTTCTGAAAAGTAATGCCAAGTTCAATGTTTGGAAAATCAACTATTTTCTTTAAATTTAGAAAACAAATTAATAGTTTCTCTGTGAGATCCGATTCATAGATAGTTTGCGATAATGTTTTCCAATTCTTTTCATAACTAATTAAATTTTTATTATTTCCAGATATACTTTTGAGCACAATTAATATACTATAAGATCTGGTTGGGACATATTTTAATATTCTCATTTGGGGGCATTATTGTTATTATCATCATTGGAATCGTCAATGTGTGGTAATGACTAATCATTGAAACAAAAATGTATAAAATATGAAGATAATTTATAAAAAATTTATGTGCCGGCCGTGCGCCGCCATTATAAATATAGAAGGTGCGTCGGCGTGATTTTCATAGGCAGCGACTTTTTCAGCTTGGTCAAATGGCCGGCTGAGGTAGAGGTCTAAATATTCTGACTAGAAAATTTTGAAAATATAATTTTTCAGTTTAATATTTTGTGAATTAAGCAGTTTTATATTTTATAACTTGAATAATTAATATTTTATATAAGGTTTTATTGAATATAGTGCAAACAAATTCATACATCACCCACCTCAGAAAAATAATAAAAGATTTGATAATTATAGCCTTATCTTTGGCACGACCTTAGCCACGGAGGGGCTGCTCCCCCCCCCACCCATTTCGACCCATAAATTTTGCTGCCCGAAATGGCCTCCAAAAGTATTCCCGGCAGGGTTGCCAGGGCAAAATTTTCAAATTGCGGGAGAAATTTAGTATTTTGCGGGAGAAATATGAAAATTGCAATAGAAATATAAAAATTGCTAAAAAAAAATTTTTGATGGCCAATTGACTTAATTATCCGCCTATTATTTTTTATAATTAGTTTATATAAATGCAAAGTCGGTAAATATTTTTCAAAATAAAATAACATCTTGATTTATTAAAGTATATTAATTTATAAAAAAAAACGATTTTAGTTTTACAACATTTTATGTGAATATCCGCAATTGGAAATCTACCGTGTGTGTGTATAACATTATAGGGATAGACGCTTAATTATCACGTACCAAGTTTAAATACATAATAAGATATGTACTCATTTCAATGATAATTATTTTATTTATTATTCAATCACATTATTAATCAGTGCAGGGGAGTATATCTACATTCATTGCAAAACAAAAATATTCTCCATAAATAAGAAATAATACAGATGCAACTACAGTTGCGGCAATTGTAATCACTTATCTTGTATTACAACATTCACAGAGCTACTTATCATTACAATTAGGTAGAATCTTTCCCCATAATATTTAACGACTCCAAGATAAATGAAAACTTTTTGTAGAACAAAAATGAGAAAGGATATCATCAATGTTTTAGAACCTGAATCCAGGAGGTCAATTCTTGACGATTTGAAAGATGGACAACATATGAAATTCTAACAGATGCATCTAATAAGGGAAATATTTCCCTTGATCCTCCTCTATTTCAACAAAATTAAGGACGTTTCAATTAAACTATTAAATTTTTTCCCCTCAAATAGTGAAAAATTCAAAGACATAGCTAACCATATAATGGTAAATATAGCAGACTGGGGATTATCAATAAATTATATGTCAGCTTTCTGATCTGATAATGCCTCAGTGAATTTGAAAAAATACAGAGTGTATTTATAGAATTAAGTCAGCACAATGTTGGTTGCGATCTGTTCCTAATACCCGCCATCGATAGAATTATAAAATTTTATAAACCTTTAAAAAAATATTTCTTGGATATAGATTATAAAAGCTGTCCTAACATTTTAAAAAAAATTTCAATAATGAATGGCAGAGGTATATTTAGGAATGATTTCACATGTAGGAAATCTACTACCTGCTGTTAATGTGCAGTTGCAATCAGAAGAATCTTAATAGATATTCATAAAATTATGTTGCAGATGTGTTCATCTTTACAGTTAAAAATTGACAATAAATTATATGACGCCATTGCTAAAACTATATTAAAATGTTCAAATATTTTAAAAATACCGATAGACATTGATGTCTTGTTTGAAGAGATTGTAATGCTCTCTATTTTTGATTTACAATGTAAAAAATATATTTATTTTATGCGAATGTATAAATAATATTTTATAAAATATAAAAAAAATATGGAAAATTAAATATAGTTATAATGTTAATTATATTTTATTTGAGATTTAAATAATGGAACTAAACGTTTACCGTCGTTATTGAGATATTTATGAAATTCCTGGCATGACATATTATAAATTTATTTAACCATTAGCTCGGCCTCTAATGTTGTTAAAGAAATCCGATTTCTCTCCTTTTTACAGGCAGTCCTCATCAGGCTAAAAATGCGCTCGGATGAGGCATTAGAATGAGGTATGGAGAAGACATGCTCGCATATTTTTTCCAAGCATGGGGATTTATTGTTATTACGAAAAAATTCTACCCATTTCTCCTCTGCTTTTAGACCATCTAACTAACTTTAAGTATTCTGGCGAACCATAAAAAATAGAGAGAATTACAATCTCCTCAAACAAGACATTAATGTCTTTCGGTATTTTTGATATATATTAAATTATAAAAATCATCAATTGATGGTTTCTGTTCCAAGGTCATAATATTTATAAATAGAGTTATTATTAAAATCAAATTTTGATAGTAAATATTCTAAAATTGTCTTAATAAAAATATCTGCTTCATTTAAAAATGTATTAATTAGAGTATTTTGAACATTTTAATATAATATTTCTAGCAATAGCGCCATAAAATTTATTATCAATTTTTAACTGTAGAATTGAACAGAGCTGTAGCATGATTTTGTGAATCTTTATTAATAAAGAATATTCTGATTGCAACTGAATATTAACTGCATGAAGTAGATTTCCTACATGTGAAACTAAACCCAAATATGCTTCTGCCATTTCATATACTCGATATAATTTTTCAAAATTTTTGGACAGCTTTTAAAATCTTTATTTAAGAAGTATTTTTTTAAGGGTTTGTAAAATTTTAAAATTCTATCGATAGCAGGAATTAATGATAACCACCTGATAGGTAGATATCGCCACAACTCACACCATTCCAAGTCAGACCACTCCACCAACTCTTTTAATTCATTACCTCTTTTAGTTGATGAACTAAATTCGTTAAAACATTTCATCACAATTATTTCAACATCTACAGATAGTACATTCATTGCCTTCTTGCAAGAATTATGAAGTATATGGCATATAGAGCCAATTGGTATTAATTCATTATTGTGCTGCCTCAATTCGGTAAATACACTTTGGTTTTTGCCAAAATTTACAGAGACATTATCAGTGCAGAAAGCTGACATGCAAATCATTGATAACCCTGAATCAGCTCTATTTACCATTGTGTGGTTAGCTACGTTGGATTTGTCACTATCGAGGAAAAAAATTTTGACAGTTTTATTGAAATGTTTTTATTCTTGTTGAAATAGTGAAGGATCAAGGGAAATGTTTTAATATTTCCCTTATTAGATGCATCTGTTGTAATTGCATATGGATTCCCATCTTTAAAATCGTTTATAATTGACCTCTAGGATTCAGGTACTAAAACACTTGTGATAGCCTTGCTCATTTTTGTTCTACCACAAGTAAGATTTGCACTTATATTTGAGTCGTTAAATATCATGGGAAAGATTCGACCCACATTGTGATGATATAGCTCTGTGAATGTTGAACTACATGATAGTTGTATACGATTTCCGCAACTGTAGTTGCATCTGTATTATTTATTATTTTTGGATAATATTTTTGTATTGCAATCGATATTGATATACTCCCCTGTACTGACTTATATGAATGAAATGATGTTGATTTATTATTGGATAAAAATAAAACAGGATAGAAAGAAATTTACTAACTGGACATTTTCAAATAAATATTTAAAATTTATTTTAAAAATAAAAAATAATCAATTACTGTCTCTCAAAATTATTATTTATATATTAAAAACGTTAAAATACTAAAAAAAAAAATGCGGCAGAAATTAAAAAATTGCGATAGATTTTTACGGGAGATTTTCAATTGCGGTAGCTTTGCAGGTGAGATATGTCTACGTGTAAACTAAAAAATTGCGGGAGTCTTTCGCTGATGGGGGGACAAGGCAACCCTGATTCCCGGTCCCAAATTTAAAAAAAATTGGTTATTAAATTTTCATTCGCCGTTAATCATTAAAATCCATATGAAAAAACAACAAAATTCATAGAAAAATATGGATGTTAAAATACGAAACCTCTAAGGATCATTTGAATTCATTATGGCTTAATAAAAATCATAATATAAAGATGGATACAGAATGGACAACAGGCAAACATTTGTCATTTGAATTTGCTTTATTACAAACCTTATGTACTTCGATATGGTTTGTAATTTTATACAATACAAACATATTTTGAACTATCCAAAACACAGAATTATTTTTAAAAAAAACAATTGCATTCTCCATGTAGAAATGGTAGGATCAGAATCCTTTAAATTTGACAAAGCTACTCTCTTTACATCATAGAGTAGAATTTTTTTTAGAATAGCTTTATATGATAATAGCCAGGTTCTATGTATATAATAAACATTTGAAATCTAATCAAATAAGATAATATTACCGAGTGGTATTCTTGATATGCAAAGATCGTTTCGATTTGGTCAGTACAGCACTCTGACATGTTTTAAGTACTGCATATCTTTTAACACCATTGAAATATGCGTGAATCTCGTCTAGGATCCCTGAAACATTTCTTATTCGTTTGATTGGAATAATTGAACAATGATTAAATTTAATCGATTACAAGAGCACAAAATAAAGGCTGCCTTTGGGGCCTCCGCTCTAATCTATACTTCAATTATCTTTCCACTTATATTTGAGGTTCCATCATAGCTTTTCCCAACTAAGAATTAGAAGGATGGAAATAAGTTTGCATCGTATTATCAGTTGGGTTATCCGTACAATATATATATATATCTATTAATCTTTTAACCGATTTAGTCGTTTCACCATTTTTAATATATCTTACTAACAAAGCTATTGCTTCTGATTTCGAAATATCATATGTACCATACCATCAACTATAATTGAAAAACATCTGTTAGATTCAATTTCTATTTAAATTTTTTATTATACAATAAAAGATTGGAATATAGTTTCCCTTTTGTTTTTATCCCTTCTTTCTTAATTTTTGTATATATATAATTTGAGAACAGGTTCAGAATCTGCATCATTTTGTTCTCTTATTGCATGCTCGCCAAGAAGATTTGGTTATGAGAAATCAAATAACCAAAACCAACACATCTTATTATTTTTATGATTGAGCCATTCTCACATTTTTTGAAGTATTAGATATTTTAATATTAATTTTTGTTATGGGCAAATCTTCCATAAAAAGGGGGGTGGGGGTAGAAAATGTTTTTATATACATTTTTAGGGGGTTGATATAAGGGGAAATTTTTATTGACTTATGATATTTACGAGATCAGGCAAATTTCCGATAGGGTAAGAAATTTCCCACTTTCCCATTGATTACCTGCCTGCCACACAATATGCTATAAAGTTGATGAGGAGGTTATGATTAATCTTATAAATTAAAATCACTTTACCATCCCACCCAATCAATAAAAGAATGCGACTCAACAATAAGAATGGAGCAGGTGCCTATGCAGTGGGGGAGGTGGCAGAGGGGAAATCCGCCCCCTCCCATCCAAAATATTTAGATGTCGGCTAAAATATTTTCACAGATATTACTGATTCCTATCTCTTATCACATATATATTCAAATTTATATTTATTTTTCACATTCACAGCAGAAATAAATACGCTGCTAATTTATACTATAAATAATATCGATTTTAAATTTTCCTTTGCTTTACATTTATCTACCATTTTAAAATCTCCCAAAAAATCATTTGAAATCTTCACTGCAAATAGTAAAATATTTTTAAAAAATTGATTGAGACTATGAGAATAGCTGAAAGTATTATATTGGAACTTAAGGAAATTAGGGCAGTTCATAAATTATATGTTATTGTTGAGTCAAAATCATAGTCTTTAAATTTAATACTTGTCTACTTTGACTCGCATCAAGGCAATCCCATCGTTCCAATAATAATATAGGATCAGTCGGAAAATACTATAAAATAAATATTTTTACTCCATCTAGGATACTTTCAATTCAAATGAATGAAAAGTTCTTAATTAATCAGGCAGATAGCTCAATCCAAATTATTGAATTTTGCATTATTATGCCTTAATTATATTTTACCCCTTTTTAGTACATCATATTTTTTTCCTATTTTTATGCATTAATCTATATTCCCAACATTTTTTTAAAAATATAATTTAAATTTATATATCAAATTTTAAATGCTTAATGTACTATTTTTATTTAGTTCTTTTCCCAGACATTCGCTGATTATATACAATTAATATTTTATTATTAATTTATTTGAATTTGTGTAATATGATTGTCAATATTTGTCCTAATAAAATTTTGATAGATATTCTTAAATATCTCATAGAAAAATTTTAAAATTTTTTTTAATTACCCCCCCCCCCTCTCAAATGAATTCCTGCGTACACGCCTGAAATGGAGAGACGTATAAATCAATCAAGACAGAAATACCATATAAAGCAAAAAATATATGTATATATGATAGTGCGACCTAATTGAGCGTTTTCGAAAAAAAACAAACCAGTTTGCGTTTTTATTAATGATAATAAATTGTTATCAATTTACACAATACCATTTGAAATTCGTTGTTTTTGTATAACCAAAAGCAAATGTTCTATCGGGTGGCACTAAAATGAAAGAAAACTATAGGAAAAAAATATGGGAATGACAGATAAAAATCACTCTGAGTGACCGCGAAAAGATAAATTACTATAAAAATCTATTACTGCTAACTAAAAATTATGAAAATAGGTTTCCTGAATTTACACAAATACATTATTATTTTTTAACTTTTATTATTAGTTTACTATCCCTATAAAACCATTAGTAGATTATTATATAATATAAAATTACATATATTAAATAATCATATAAATATCTAATTACGACTAAAAACCCTTAAAATATTGATGAATGTGGGAATTATTGTATTCATTGGACGCTTATAGAATTACAATATTTTAAATTATAATAATATTAATTTAAAAATATAATCAAATTTATAAAATATTTACAAAGAAAACGATTTGAAAATTTTATTATAGATAAAAATGAATTGAGATATTTTGAAAGATTGAACAATGAAATAACAATATAACAAACATTTTTAAAAAAATCTTTTCAAGCAATTTTTAATAATAAAGCATTGATAATCTTTTATATTTTTAATAAGTAGGAATTCAAAAAGACACTCTATTCATATCAATATGGGGTATAACTTAATACTTTTATTATTTAATTACAATATTATATTATTTATAATACAAGAAAACAGGATTAGTAATTAATTATATATTCATAAAAACTAAATTTACAATAACGAAATTATCGATCAATAATATTATGGTCAATAAGGTGAACGTATAGAATTGATTTGAAATCTTATTGCAATGTATTTTTTAAAAAATATGGATGATGGAATACTATCCAAGTGTAAGTATGTCAATATGAGATTTTGAGTTTCCAACTATAAAATATCCGTCGTTGTAGGCATATTGGAATAGAAATAAGGGTAAGTATAATAGTGCATTAAATGTTGGCTTTTCGTTGCATTATTTAATGATTTAGCTTTATCGCGATCATTTATAACAGTCTTATTAACAATATTTTTTTCAAAATTGGCCTTGTATGTATTCTGATATTCGCCTCTACCTACTTCATGGTAATAAAGAGATGGGTAGTATAAGGTTGCATTTGAAGCTAAAATTGGATTAGATGTTGGATTAGCAGGATTGGGAATATAATAGGGGAAATTAGGACACATAATTGGGATTCTATTATGGGAATACATTTGGTTCATCAATGAATTTTCAATGCCATATGTATTTATTTTATAATCTTTATTACTCTGCATAATTTTTGATTGATTTAAGGCTATCATAATTCTATCATCAATATCTTCATATTTTGGTTTACACCTGATACCACTATTTTCATTCCTTATTTTAATTGTATCTACTTCCTGATTGATATTTTTTCGCCTCCTTCGTTTTATTTTGGAAGTCGTAAGATTGTTAACATCCGCAACAAATTTATTAGTTAACATAGATTTAAATTTATTATAGTTAGGAGAATGCAATATTTCGATATTTTTGGTTATTATACTATCATCGTTACTGGTAAAAATTTCGTAAAAAATAGACGATAATGTATGAGAATCGAGACTTTCTTTAACAATTGATGCATTCTTTAAGGTTTCTCTCGAATCTTTCATAAACTTTTTTGAATCTAAACTGGAATTGTGAAAATAATCCTTTTCATTATCGATTTTATTTTTATTTTCTCCAAATAAATGCTCGTTTTCTTCGCTATCATCAGAATATCTTTCACCCTTTTTACGCCATTTAGCTCTTCTATTTTGAAACCATACCTTAATAATTAAAAATAACTTTATAATTAAAAATAAATTAATAATTATACTTGTACTCTGGCTTCACTTAAATCTAGTTTTATTGCTAACTCTTCCCTTGTAAATACATCCGGATATTGGGTCTTTTCAAAAGCTAATTCTAATTGATGTAATTGAAATGTGGTAAAGGTTGTTCTACATCTACGTATTTTTCGACAAGAATTTATGCTTGAGTTGTATCGGTCAAACATTGATTTTGGTTTTTCAGAATAAAATTGGGTTCCAGATTTAGATCCTTTTAAATAATTCGATTCTAACTTATTAGTCAGAAAATGATGATCGCTCTTTGATAGTATTAAATTTTGGGAGAAATCTTTAGCTCGGGCATAAGATAAGTAATTTACCTCGTTTAAATTAGGAGAGTTTAAGTGGAAAGTGCCGTCATTATTGTTATAATTATATGAATTCGCACTATTTCCCAATTTAATTAATTTTCTATCATAGTTTGAAAAATCATTTTCAATTAATTTTTCCATTGTTTCAGGATTAATTGTGCTATTCTCTATTTTAAGTTTTATACTTCTAATAACTTTATTCTTTGTATTTTCATTTTTAGTTTTGTTAATTTGTTTTCCATGACAAACAGGTACAGGATACCATATATTTTTGTATTTGTTATGAATGTTTCGTTTAATCCGATATTGCTCATTGATTCTTTTATAATCTAATTTCCTTTCATGGGGTCGGAATTCACGTTGATCCATTGGTAAGTTTTTGTCTTCTATTATTAATGAATTTTAATTAAATATCAAAAATAATCTGTTTTATCATATTAATTCAAAATATTTTGTTAAAATTTGACACTAATAATTTAATATATAAATAATTTTGCAGATAATTTAATTTATTACATGTAAAACACAAAATAATGCCCTCTAACTAATAATATATATTATAATTTTTATATCCTTATATTTAATTATCTAATCAATCCATTAACTCTTTAAAATTTCTCATTTTTAACTAAATGATTTAAACCTATTCTAAATATTTTCAAATCGTACCAACGTTAACGCAAATTTAATTAAATTTAAATATTATATATTTTATTTGACATACTGGATTTATATTCTTCTAAGCCACTATTCCGAGGCTGTTGATCGAGATTTTCTAAATCAAATTTCGTATTAGATTTAATAATTCGGTTCATGATTTAACAAAAATAATTAATCAATTAAAATATTACATTTTAATATATAATCGTCTTATCTTTATTAATACTTCTTATGCATTAGTAATTAATTTAATTAGTTTAATTAATTTAATTAAAATCTAGTTATAAATATTATAAAGGGGATTAATTTGTGCTTATTATATTGAATATAGTAAATAATACAACACTTATTTTAGTGATAATTAACATTTATGACATATGTGAAAAGATTTTTATAATTTTAATTAATTTAAACTCTGATTGAAAATCTTATACTATAAAAATAAATAAAATGAATAGTAAAATAAATGACATCTTCAAATTAAGAGCTTAAAATTAGTTTATATATCATAATTTATAAATAACTTATAAATTAATTAACTTTTTATAATACAATAAATATCGATAAATAAATAATTATTATACCAAGGGGGAAAAGAAACGCTATTAAATTGAAAGTTATAGAAAAGAAGAGGCACATAGTAAATGTAATTATTATAAAAGATCTGCGATAATGAAAGCTAATTATAAGCTCAATTTACAATCAGTTTTATTAATCTTCTCTTGTATAAAATTTTTTTTCAAAAGAATAACAAATAACTTTATTATTAATATTATATGTATCATTCAATTATTCACTCAATTTTAAAAAATGGACTTAATGTTAAAGCATATTTCTTTTTATTAAATTTGGCAAAAAATCTTATATACTAATTAAAATTTTAAAAATTAGTAACATTTATAGGGCAGGCAATAGGATTTAACTTATAGTTATTTATAATCAATTTTAGGTACATCCTGCAAAAAACTAAAATTCTTGTAGGGTCCCTACCCATAGTTTGGGGCCTTTATATTTTCTACTTCCAGAGCTTAGGTGGGGTTTAAGGCTTTTAAAAGTGTTTAAAAACCTTGCGTTTTTTTAAATCATATAAAAATTAATCGGGTAGATATTTCAGCCTGGTTTTTTAAGAAATTTCTTATAATTGTGAGAAATTTTATGTTTTTTTCATGTAATATGAATTATTATGTTTGAAGCTTTTTAGTAACAAATATTCCTCATTACTAGGTCTTTGCGATGGGCGGATTTTAAGTATATTTATATTAATCTTTAAAAAAAATAATCACTTTTATAAAAATCAAAAAATAAAGTTAGAATTTTATTTTAGAATATGCTCTTAAGATGGTGTAAGAATGTGTGCGCAAAATTAGTTGTGATTTATCGTCATGTGGGGCCCATTAAATTTGCAGTTTAAATGCATAATCATTATAAACCGTGCAATATTCTCACAAAACGCAAAAATCTAAACGTACAAAATTACTCATGTAATCATAACTAAACTATACAAAATGAATGTTACTATTGAGCTTTAACGTGTTTATATATTTTATCAATCTATTGTATAATCTTTTGTTTTTTACAGTTAATGTTTTAAGTACATTGTTAATGAATTCCGCATTATCATTTGCCCATAAACATTAATTTTATAAAGCTATTTGAAATAAATACATTTTCCCTTAATAAAAGATTAAGATGATTTAAGATGTAGTTTATAAATATTTGTTAATCATTTTAGAATATAATTCTCTGTCATAATAGACCACCTCTCATCAAATCAAGCAGCTTTTCTTTGATCATTATCATTCTTTTCTAATGGCATTTCTATATCTTGAAGATAATTCCATATATTTTTTTTATATGTTATAAATGAATCCACCCCCCCCCCTTCAAAACACCCCCTGTGGAAAAAAAATCTTAAGGAAAAAAATGGATAAATTACGAGGAAATAACTTGGAATAAAAATACTAGGGAAAAAATAAAAATTATGGTAAAAAATCTTTATTAGAGGAGATAACATTTCTAAGGTAATTATTTGTTGATAAACTTTTATTGGGTACTAATATCTAATCAAAAAATAAGACTCGGAACCCTTTTTTTCCAATTCCCGTTCAAGACTGTAAATTTTGTACATTTTTTTAAAAAAGAAAAAATTATAATAGAAAATGGTGACCACAAAATCATCCTGCAGGCCTGGATAGTAAAGTTTTTAAGATTCCGGACCGGGTCTAAAAAAACTGGACTGGCCTATTATTTTCAAAACTGATGCCGGGCCTATTTTAAATGATTTATATTAAAATTATTATGACGGTATCTAAAAAAAAAATTACTTTGAAAAATCATATAATAAAATTTAAACTATCAGAACTTCGATAAAACTTAAAGAAGATGTATTAATTATTAGGATGGATTCTACAATTATAACTTTTATAAAGATATTTTTGTCAATTTAAGATCCCTGTTATTAGGGTTATATTTAATTATGCTTATAATTGATAGTATTGCAAAACAAATGATACAAGATATTTGAAATAAATGAAAGGAAAACTATATCAAAAATTTAAAAAATTGAAGTCAATAATATAATTTAGCTCTTATAATAATATATCTAAATTAAATTATTCTAAGGTAATTGCCGAGCTTATCTGCTCCCCGATGGCCTTTAAAAATTTTTGAATCGGTAAGGCTATCGATACAATTATTGTCAAAATCATCATAGGTCCGAAAATAACTGTTATATTTGAATTTACAAAATACCATAATATAGCCCAAACATCAAATTTTTAAATTATTTTATACTTTTTCTCAAGATTGATTCTAGTAAAAGTGAATTTTTCCGCCAGCAAGCCCCAAACCCGAGGCTTGTAGATTCAATTGTTTTATTAAGCCTCCCATAGAATAATTAATATTATTTTTCCATTATTTTCATGGACAATGTTTTATTGATATAAATACACCATTTACATGAAAATAATTAATATAAAAATGACAAAATATGACATCATTTGAATTATAAATTTTTAATAAATTTTTTTTATTTTTTCCTAATTCTATGTATTATCATCAGGGTTTCGAACCGAACCGCCAAACTGGAATGAACCGTTATGATTTTCTAAACCGTAACCTTAACCGAATCGTTATAAAGAAAATATAAAAAAAGCGAACCGAACCGTTATAAATATTTTAAACCGGTTCAAAACGGTTTTAAAAAATAATTAATTTGAAATTATTAACCTAAATTTGAAATTTTAATTTTCCTTGGGGAAATTTTTTAAATTGGTGATTTCTTTTCAAATTAAATATTTTTATATTATCAACATTATATATCAATTAATACCAAGTTTATTGTTTTTTTCTTTAAATACTTATTTTATTAGAGATTAGGCAAATTATCTGTTAATTAGATAAGATTCTTAAAATCACACATAATTATTCTTGGCTAAATTAACAAGTTTATATATAAGTTATTAATAAGCTTTTATAATAATACTTGCTAATAATTTAGGAAAAAATTAAATAAATCTAATTGTCGTATTTGTAAATACGTTTATATTTTTTTTATGCGAAATGCCAATCAACCGATTAAAAGAAGGTTGATTGGATATAAAAATTAGATGTAATAATATATGTAGATGTTATTTATTTTTTTTGGATTAATTAATTAATTAATTTTTATAAAAAATTACGGATATTTTTTTTATAAAGAAATGATTTTTCTTTTAAATAAAATTTTTGGATTTATATTGTAGTTTTATTTGTCTTTTGATTTGATAATTTCATATAATTCTTGACGATTCGTTTTTTAGAAAGTTTGGTTAAGTTTCTAGGATTTGTTTGGGTAGATTTTAGATTTGTTTTAGTTTGTGTTTGTGTTTGTAGGTTTTTTTTAGTGGTGTCTTGTGACGCTCATAGTTTCTTAGGAGTTATTCGGTTTAGAAGGTAAAACAAAAAATTTTTAATTATATAATTTTTTTAAGAATTTTTGACTGCGCATTTGTACTAACCATTATACGATTCTGATAGAGAAGTGTTTATTTAAGGTGCTGTATTAATATTTTCTACAAATATTTAAATTTTTGTAATTGATTATTAGTATTAATTAAAAAATTTATGAGCAAATGGTTTATTTTTTTAGGCCTAGTGGGGAGCATAGTTTTGGGGATAAGGTTCTCTTTTATAAGGATTTGGGTTATAAAGTTATGTATAAGAACTTTAATGAATTGGATTTAGGTAAACAGTTGATTACTGTGGGAATATTATTAATGATGTTTTTATTGATTATTATATTGAAATTGTTGGTAAAAAGGGGTACTGCGGTACTGGCAGGCATGTATTGCAATTGGAAGAAGGACACTGCGGTGTCGAATGTTTATAAAAAGAAAATGGAGGAAACGTATTTTAATTTAATATCGGATATTTATGGGAAGAAAATAGCAGATTTGGAAAGTAATCTAAAAGATGTTTTAGAGGAAATCAAGGCTGGAAATGTTGGGGAGAGGTCAGATAGGATCCTCCTGGAAATTAAAGAAATGAAAGAAGCCATCAATGCGTTGATGAAGGAGAGCAAAGGTCCGGTTAAAAGCCAGGTGGGTGATATAAATATGAATAAGAAATTTAATGGTTACGAGGAAAATAAAGGAGTGTCAGGAAATAAAAGATTTGTTGAAATGATCATTTGCCATCGTTGCGGATGGCGAGGACATAAAAGGGATACC